AAGAGTAAGAAGTTCTAACTTGTCATGTAATATTTTTGAAGATATTACATCACTTGCTTCATTTATGACAAATAATTATATTTAGATCACGTGAGTTCCTCAGAACATGAGCATTTGAACATTATTTCAGGATAATTGTTTTAACTTTTCTTGTGTAGCCAGAATCAATTTGTCATAAGAAGTGTTTCTTGATAGGAGTTGTTCCTAATAAAGACACCAATCCTAGAGACAACCTCATATATCATGAGTGTAAATCTTGTTCTAATGATGTTTTCATATACTTCTTAGATATACTTCTTCGGATGAGACTTAGTCTTTTCGAATGCATCCTTCTTTCTGTTAAAGTGCTTGTTCTCATATCCTTTAGTCTTTTCCCAGAACTAGCTATTCTGAAACCTTTTATTCTTTCCTTTCTGATCTATATCGAATCAAGCATCTTTAAGTTCCAGTCTTTGGAACAAAATGATTTCTTTCCCTAATGTATTGTGAGCAACCAGAGTTCTGGTGCTATGTCTGGTGATTTAGCTCTGCTTGAGATATCTGCAAGATACACTATTTTGCCTTTTGGTACTCAGAATCTTTAGGGTCCTTTAGAAAGCTACATTAGCACGCTCCTCACCAGAATTTGATCCTTCAGAGTCTGACTCATCCCATATTTCCATGAAACCTTTCTTCTTGTCAATGAAGGCATTCTTCTTGAAGATTTCTTTTCTGGTGATTTATTTCTTAAGTTTTGAACATTCATTTTTGTAGTGTCCTAGCTCTTTACAATCATAGAAAGTAACTTATTTGCTTGCTCTTCCTCTTGCAGATGATTCTGAACGATCTTCTCTACTTCTGGGTGTTCTAAAGTTACCTTGTCTTTTCTTCCAGAGTAGTTTGAGTCTTTTGAAAAGAAGGGACAATTCATCTTCGTCATCAAAAGGTTCTTCTTCATAATCTTCTACTTTTTTTAGCTTGAAATGCTTTGCATTTTTCTGACTTGGTCCTTTCTGACTTTAACTTTAGAGCAACAAACTTACTTCTTTTCTGAGGCTCATCTTCCTCTAGCTCTATTTCATGAATTCTAAGGGAGATAACCAACTATTTGAGAGACAAAGTGTTTAGATCCTTTGACAACTTCAAATTAGTAACCATGGGTCTCCATTTCTTAGGAAGACTCCTGATGATCTTTTTAACATGATCAGCTGTAGAATATCCCTTATCCAGAACTTTAAGTCCCGCGAACAAAGTTTGAAACCTTGAAAACATAGTTTCAACGGTTTCATATTCTTCCATCTTGAAGGCTTCATATTTTTGGATTAAGGTCAGCGCCTTAAATTCTTTAACTTGAGTGTTACCTTCATGTGTCATTTTTAACAAATCAAAAATACCTTTCATTGATTCTCTATTAGTGATCTTCACATATTCATTGTGAGATATAACGTTGAGAAGAAACGTTCTAGCTTTATGATGATTCTTGAGCACACACTTTTGATTATCATTCATTCTGTTTCTGAGAACGGGAATACCAATTGCAGATACAGGTGCTTCGTAACCAAAAATGACTAGATTCCAATGATCAACATCATATCCTAGAAATAAACTTTCTAGTCTATCTTTTCAATAGACAAAATTCTCTCCATCAAAAATAGGAGACTTAGTACAATAACCATATCTTTTGTTTGAATGAGCAACAACCATAGAAGTTTTTCTCACACTGGATCTCTTTACACGATTAAGCGTTTGATTTGAGAATCAATAACAGAGACAGAGCTCTGATACCAATTGAAGTTTAAGAAAAACAGAAGAAAGAGAGGGTTGAATTGGGGTTTTAAAAAACTATTCATTTTAGCAAATGCTTCTCACAAATAAACAATGATAACTAAGCAAGAAAGAAAAGTGACATGTTTTGTTTATATAAGTTCACCTTAGAAAAGGATACTCTTGTCCACTCATCAAGGAGACTTTTCCTTAGGAAAGGACTTAATCCAATAATCTAGAAATATTACAACGACCTTTAAGAGTTTAGAAAAACACCTTAGCCCTCTCAATTTTGACTAAAACTTAGTCACTTGAGGAAATAAATCTAGAAAGATTTACAATCAAACAGTGTTTACAAGAATGCTTCTGAAAAGCAGATTTAACACCACAATAAAGAACAAATGTTTACACACAAATATGAGCAACAACTCTTGTGTATAAAACAATAATAAAATTAACACAATAACAAGCAAAAACTCTTGTGTTCTAGAGAATATAAGTTAACACAAATCTGAGCAACAACTCTTTGTGCTTTTCTTTTGAATATTTTCTCTTTGTTTTTCTTATGCTTTTGATGCTTTCCTTTGAGTAGTTTATTCGTTCTTCGTTCGATTTATTGAAAATTGTTGGTTTCTAAAGAAGTAGTATTCCTTTTATATAGGCTGAGAAAAGAAGACTGATGGAAAATGTCACTTTCATCAAGCTGTATGCTACAACGGGAGCGTATGAATGTGGGAAACAAGGAGCACACAAAAACTTCTTTCGTACATTGCATTCATCACAAATATTAAAAAAGGTGTTGACGGTTGTACTTGTTTACTTATTGCATAAGTTTGTGATCTTTTCTTCTCTTTGAGATACTTTTGATCTCAAGTCGTAAGAGCTGAAGAGATCATGTCATTGTTTTTCAATCTTCTGGTAAAATAATTATGATATAAAGAGATGAATATTCCAGAAGATATTTCTTTGTTGTGTTTCCAGAGGTATCAGAGTCTTCAGAACTAGAACCTTGTCTTTAAATATATATCAACAACTTATCAAACAAGCATTTTCTTGATATTTGAGCGTTGAAGCAAAAGTATTATCTGAGAAGCACTTTATCTTGTTTTCTTATCATTGAAGCAAAAGCTTCATATCTGATCTTCACTGTAGATTCTTTTCTAAACAAACTATATTTCTGAAGCATTAACTTATATGGAGATGTACACGTGGTTTCGTTTCTGGCAAACACTCAGTATTCATCAGAACTACTGATGTTTCTTCAGAACTTAAACAATGGTCTTTCTAATGCGAGCTAAACACATTTGATGATTCTTCATACAACAATCTTGAATCAATTTGAATGTTTTATCTGCACACTAAAAGAACTATTAGATATCAAAATTGTTGTACATAAAATATATGTATTGTTATCATCAAAGCTCATAGATTATATGAAGAACCAAATCATGTTCTTACAATTCCCCCTTCTTGATGATGACAAAACCATGTATTTTGATGAAACAATTTTACAAGATAATATCAATCAAAGTATCAGAGTAAGTTTAGAGAAACTCCCCCTGAGATAAACAATCTTTCCCTGATTTAAAGGCTGAATAATCTTTAGAGATGAAAGGGCTTTCTAAGCATTGTTATCTTTCTTATCACCTGATTAAAGAACAAGATCCTCTTTAATGCTTATCAGAGATTGACTTTATCAAAACATCTTTTAATAGATCTGTTATCTCAGAACCTTCTAAACGATAGAAGTTCTAAATTTGATCTTGATTGATTTGAATCCTTAAGACATCCGAAATTCTTTATCAGAACCTTCTAAACTTCGTATCAGCTTGTTCCTGAAACAATATTCTCAACACAATCCTGGAACATAATCTATATATATATATATATATATATATATATATATATATATATATATATATATATATATATATATATATATATATATATATATATATATATATATATATATATATATATATATATATATATATATATATATATATATATATATATATATATATATATACCCATTTAGTACAAATAATTATATAAGTCACTTAATTGTTAATGTTACTTAAAAAAAAGGAGACGTCTAACACTATTGCATGGTGCAATACAATTTCTGAAGATTATCAACTTTGAAAGTTATTGGTAACAACACACTTAACATGTAAGCACAAATCAAGGATCATGGTGCTCTAGGATAATGGTGCTCTAGGATCATGGTGCCCTAGATTATGAGTGTAATTTATATAGGATACAATTAACTCATGATACAGTAAAGAAAATAGTGAAGAATCGAGGAGGGTGGAGCCATAATTTCTATACCATTTAACTCACTACATAATATGTACCTTGAATATAATATAAAATTAATTTAAATCGTAAATGGGATCACTTTACTAATTTCAAGCCCTTCACTCTCAAATATGTCTTAGAGTTAACGTAGGAATACTCAGGATAATTCAATCTATTGTCGAGTTTGTATAAGATTGATGAAAAACTTGGATGTAACAAAGTGTATCTGAAATATATAATGAAGAGTGTGTGATTTTATATTATGTTTTTTCTCAATCTGAAATGCTCAATTTATAGGACAAATTGGTGTTATTCCATAAGGTTGCGACCCTTGATAAAATTCACACTTTCAACAACATTATTATCAAATGTTGCACTGTTTCGCCTATAGCAAGAATTTTACCAATTGTTGCACTGTTTCATCTACAACAACTATTTTTTACTAACTGGTGTACTGTTTCGCCTATAACAACACTTGAGGAACGGATGTCTTTTTCTGAATTCAAAAAACAACTTCACTAGCATATTTTTCTTATCACTTTAAAACATATCCATAATCATTAATTATTGTTAATAATTTCACTACGCTAAAAATGATTTTTTGTATCACCAAATTTAATAGAACTTTTAAAAAAAATGCTATTAAAATGGAAAAAACACATTTATAATAGCACTTTTTAATCGGGCGCTATTATATAATACAGACTATGTAATTTTGATAGCACTTTGTACCAAAACGCTATTATTAAACTTCTTTAAGATAGCACTTTGTACCAAAACGCTATTATTTGACTACCTATATAATAGCATTTATTAAAAAGCGCTATGTTATATATAATAATGAATTAATTAATTAATTGATAAAAAAAAAAACATTGGTATTATTGGTATAAATTGGGGATTTGGCGCACAAAGAGAAAAAGAAGAAGAAGTTTGGAAAGTGAAAATCGAAAAGAATGGACGATTACACGAGAGAGATGATGGACCTCAAAACCCTCGTGACTCGCACTCTTGAGAAGAAAGGCGTTCTCGCTAGGATCCGAGTATTTTATTGTTCTTCTCCCTTTTCTTCATTTTTAGGGTTTTCTTATTCAGATCCATAATTTTCAATTCTTCTTCATGTTTCAGGCTGAATTAAGAGCTAGTGTCTTTGAAGCTATCGAAGAAGAAGATCGTGTCATCGAAAAGGATCAAGCTCTGCCTCCTGCATTGTTAGGTAGCTGTAACGATCGTGCTAAACAGCTTCACGCTTCTCCTTCTGGTAATTCACCTTTTTCATACTCATTTTCTGTTTATATGCTCTATGGAATCCAGGAATTGGTGTTGTTTTTCACAGGAATTGGATATTGATAGCTAACTTGTGTTGAGCTTCATAAATATCTGTCTGGTTATTTGAATTGGGGTTTTATAAGAAGCTTTGAGTTGTGAAGATGGTGGAGATTGGAGAATTTTGAGTTTTTGCTTTTCCGAGAGTTAGTTCATTATAATTGTAAGCTCATCTCATGACGCGCAGTTGCTATGAGATACATGTAGAAGCAATATGATTGAGCAATTCATCAATTTCGTGATTAGGCCGCCGAGGTATTACTAATACTATTAGTTTTTGTTTCATTGGTTGGTGGCTTGGTAGGTGTACTAACAAATTTATCTATAGCATTTAGCTCCCTTACATGTTTACATGTAGAAATGTCATATTCAATTTTAATGACCATGTCATCTTAGTGGTTGAGCATTAAGGGAAAAAAGCACTTGATCATGTTATTATTAGTTTTGCAAATTGAGTTATAGTTTTGGTGTGTATACTTTGCGACATTCACAGGGCGGACTATAACCCGGATCAGTATCTGTGGGAAAAGGAATTCTCCCTCGCTGGTAGGACGTACCAAAGGCAGGATTTGGAGGCAAGTATGGACTATTTATTTCATAGGTTATTGCAATTATTGTTGTCTATCTATATAAGTTACACCACGATTCCAGTTGTTTGTTTGCGTATATACTGCTAGATTATCTATTTTCTAATTCCACAGCTCAAGAATGCCAGAGGCTATACCTTGAAGTGTAGTCATTATCTCCCTTCTCCGTTTCCTGAAGATACATCTCTTCCTTATGTTGTATATTGCCATGGAAACAGGTATATGTCACATTTATGTTCACTGCTATTGATTCTAGTTATGATTGTAAATATTACTTTTCGAACATTAACTTATCAAAATGACATAGCTGTTCCCGTGTGATATGTGTTCAATGATGCAGTGGATGTAGGGCAGATGCGAATGAAGCTGCTGTAATTCTTCTTCCATCAAATATTACTGTTTTTACCCTTGACTTCTCAGGGTCGGGTTTATCTGATGGAGACTATGTTAGTCTTGGTTGGCATGAAGTAAGTTACGACTTCATGAATGCGTTCATTTGTTTAATTAGAACAAAATATTACTGTTTTTTACCTTTGTCTTCTCGGGGTCAAGTTTGTCTGGTGGAGACCATGTTAGCCTTGGTTGGCTTGAAGATTGTAATGTTGTCGAGCTGAATGTTAGTGTTACTATTTTATACGAAAGAAGCTTTTAGACTCTTTTTGACCATTCCTTTGTGTGGTAGAAAGATGATCTGAAGATTGTGGTGTCGCATTTGAGAAGCAACAAGCAAATATCCCATATAGGTTTATGGGGACAATCAATGGGCGCAGTTACTAGGTACTACATCTTTCAATGAATTTTAATATTTTTTAAAACAATTTATGCTGTTTTGGTACTTGAATGTAATGGAGTATTCACTTTATTTTGATGTGGTGTAGCCTTCTTTACGGAGCTGAAGACCCTTCTATTGCTGGAATGCTATTGGATAGCGCCTTTTCAAACTTATATAATCTAATGATGGAGCTAGTGGATGTTTATAAAATCCGACTTCCAAAGTTCACTGTACTCCCTCTCCCTCCCTTTCTCTCTTTGTGTGTGTGGATGCCAACTCCCTTTGTTATGAATGCTCAATTGAAACAGTCGTGGTGTATAGGAAAAAGTGAGACTATATATGGTTGAAACTGCAAAAGACTTAAAAAATTGTTGCTTCATGGTTGTAACCGCATCTTAATATGCTGTTTATTTGTACTTGTAATCTGTAAACTTTTTTCATAAATTGTTGCTGGAAGCCTGGAACCTGTAAGAGGTTAAATTGTTCTAGGCTCTAGCTTCTAGGATTTGGTGTATCTGCAAGTCTTAACTTAGTAATTTCCTTTTTCTTAAGATGGAAAAGTAAAGTAGCAGGAAACCCTAGGATTGAAGACTAGAATTAATTTTGATCAAGATTTTGTTTTGGATCTAGGTTTTCTTGTTATAATTACAGTTCTTTTTATTATGAAATTGTTAAATATGAAAATTGGGGATTTAATAGTTATGCATCTATAGTAATGCCTAGTTTGCATGATTTTGTCCAGTACATTTAAGTCAGATATTTGACTGCATTTTCTCCCTGATTAGGTTAAAATGGTTGTACAATACATGCGGCGGGTTATTGAGAAGAAGGCAAAGTTTGATATCATGAAACTGAACTGTGTTCTGGTAAGTATTAATTGTTTGTCTTTTTTATAGTAAAAAAATTATGAATGCAATTATGTAAACTTTCATTGATCATGTTTTGTTAAGCATTATTTTCTGGCTAAACGAATTTCTTTTAGAGACATCATTTCTTTTCGACTCCATTTTTATCGTAAATTAATGCTTTTAAAGCCTACAGGTTGCACCGAAGACATTCATTCCTGTTTTATTTGGACATGCAAGTGATGACAAATTCATTCAGCCACACCACTCCGATCTCATCTCTGAATCCTACGCGGTATTAATTTTACAATTATAAGCAGTTTGCATTTTCTCTCTCTTTGATAGCCAAAATATCTAACTTCTGTTTCTGAATTCGTAGGGTGATAAAAATATCATAAAATTTGATGGCGACCACAACTCTTCTCGGCCACAATTCTTTTATGATTCAGTTTCCATTTTCTTCTACAATGTCCTCCGTCCTCCTCAAGTTTCTATTGCTGAAAAGCTCGAGAAATATTATGATTTGGGGGATTTGAAACTCGGTTCCGGTGTGGATGAGGTATTTAGCGTTTCTACTCCGTTGTCTTGAAAAATATAAAAGACACTACAGAAACTAATTTGCTCTTTTTCTTTTTCTTTCCATGCTAGAGCGTATTATATGAGATTCTCTCTAGTCTACGGTCTGCACCTACTGATGCTGCAAGTTCATCTTCTGCATTTCCAACAATATCTGAAACAAATTCAGTTACCGAACTTCTTTCGAAAGCAGCTCCACTGGCTGATGCAGTAGGTTGCCTTATCCCTCTGTCTCCATTATTTTCTTCATAAAACTTTGTTCTGTTTAGTTTATCCATTGCTTGTACTGCAGGAGCCTTTGTTTGAAGAAGATACGAGAGACAAAAATGATGAAGCCGCAAATGTGCAGGTCATCTTTATATAACCGTCTCTGAAATTAATAAATGGTCCGGGAATTATCCTTTACTTAACTTGAACAAAATACTATGAATGACTTTATAGGGTAAGCTAAATGGCCAGATTGAAGATTGTTGCTCATATACAAGCTCGACTAGAGAAAGTTGTGGAAGATGTTCTTCTTTAGGAGGCAGTGATCAAGAATCTTTTGCAGATTTAAGTGCTGATGATAAACACTCTCAGGTTTCTCTCTAGCAGCATAACTAAACTTGTTTTTTCTTCAAAGCTATTTGTAGCAAAGTTATTGACCCTGAGAAGTTACCGACGTTACAAAAGGAAATTGTTGTCACATTATGTGAGCTTGAGATGTATTTTCCACCCTCATTTTTTGACATAATGGTTCATCTTACAGTCCATCTTATAATGGAAACACAATATTGTGGACCAGCTTATATGAGGTGGATGTACCCGATTGAGCGTTACATGAAGATAATAAAAGGGTACGTGAAGAATCGAAGTCGACCAGATGGTTGTATTGTTGAACGATATTTAGTTGAAGAAGCCATTGAGTTTTGTACTGAATACCTCTCTAATATTGAGCCCATAGGGATTCCAATGTCATGACACTCTGGAAAAACAACAGGGGAAGGGATTGGTGCAAGTAAACTAGTAACCATGTCAGACATCGAATTGGAGCAATCACACTTGTATGTTCTACACAATGCTGATGAGGTTGAGCCATATGTTGAAAATCACAAAGAAATACTTCAAAGTTTGAACCCTAATAAGAGTGAAAATTGGTTAACAAGAGAACACATATGACTGCAAAGTTTCAGGTAATACTTTTATCACTTGGATATGGTTCTTGCAACCCTGGATCATTTGGCAACATTCCCGAGGTAATTGGTTTCTTTATTATCTCTCAAATTCGATATGTTTGTTCTTTCAATAATGATGTTAATCTTTTTATTCATATCTTATTGGTTTAGGGTCTCTTTCCTGTTAATATATATTTATCCTCCCCGAGTCGTTGTTTGGTTGCTCGTGGAAAACTATATAACACCAAAGGTAACACGGTACATGGCATGACGTTACCACCTGGATATGTCAAGGTTAATATCGAAGTTGCTATTGTGCCAAATGCCCCATTGCCTATATCTGTTGAAGATGGAGATGTATCCATGGTTGGTCAAGCAATAGGAACAATTGTGCCATGGCCAACGAAACTTCTTGAATTTGTTGCTGAATGTGAAAAGGTAAATTACTTATAATCAAGTTGCTGAATGTTGAATTAGTTTTTATTGTACAATACATAATCAATATTCCTTCTATGATACAGGAAAACAAGAAGCAATTATTTTGCCTAATTAGTAATTGTATCTATGAGTTCAACGCTTTTGGATCATGAAGGTGGTTACTACATGGGATTGTTTTGTTATCCTTTCTTATTTTTTTGGTGTTTTGTTTAGAGAATTTGATTGTATGTTTTTGGATTTGGATTGAAGTACTCATAGATGGGTATCTACAAATTTGGCTATGCAAACGCCCTCTTAATATTCTATATGTTATGATATTTGGAAACAATAGGATTTGGTAATTTAAAATGTTATTTGGTATTTGATGGATCATAATATATATGCAATGAGTAACTTAAAGCGTTATTTGTGTTGAATTGAATATAGTTATTTTATATTTACACCAAAAAAAATGATTGTGTAAGAAAAAATATTGTACTGTACTTATTAAAAATATTGTACCAAATATGTACCATTTATTAGCACTTTATTTGAAAGCGCTATCAAACATATGTTATATATTAGCGCTTTTTGTTTAGAGTGCTATAAAAAAACAAACAAAAAACATGCAAAATACTGACTTTGATAGCACTTTAATTAAAACGCTATTATA